CACTCCTTCGCAGGATGTCAGGGGCTGAAAATCACATTTTAGCTGCATTTAATTCCAAAATGTTTTATTTTAAGCATATGTTCTGTGCCCCTTTGGTGGGAAATCCCAGTATTCCATAAGCTTCCTACAAAAGCCCCTGCCTTGTTTTGAAGAAATAGATGAGTCAATGTGAAACTGGTCTTAGTTAAATCAACGGATTCTTCCTGTAAAAGCAGACAAAAAATAAGCTATTAAGACTGAACATTGTTCTGACTTCCCTTAGAATGATTTAGGTTTTCTCTGCTGGTCTACACTGAGGAGGATAGTTCTATATTTTGACATACTGGGTAACCATGAGAAGAAGCCTGCTTCTTTGTGGCTTCTTGATGCTGAATTACATAAAGAGATGAGTGTTTCAGTGAGATAACAATGCACCTGGTTGACATCAGGAAACCTTCCTCTAATCAAGGGTGACTTCACAGAATAGTGTGTCCGAAACTCAAACTATGTTAATGCAATTAAGGATTTGCTTAAGCTGAAGAATTCTGCCTTTCCAGTAGATCAGGTGGTGGTGGTTGGGGATTTTTTCCTTTTGTTTTTCTTTTTGTAATTGTGAGAAATATCCCAGGAGATAATATCAAGTGTGTGTGTGTTGGTGTATTAAAGAGAAAGAAGGAAAAGTAAACTACCTACCCAGCTGCATGGCAAACCCAAAACAGGGGCTACTTGGCAGTGATTACACTTTTGGAAAAACAGAGGAGTTCTGTGAGCCTTTGTCACAGGCAGGGAAAAGAGCCGTAGTTGCTCTCCTCCTTCCCTTTTCATCACCACAGTCCATTTCTCCTCTACTGTGTGAGCCATTCTTTTGGGAACCAGCTCCATCAGCAGAGGGGGAGGGTTAAAAATAAATTCTGCTTTTCCTAAGATTATTTTTAACCTGGAATGCTTGAGTGATCTAGTTTACAGTGTTACTTGACAGACAGGTCAGGCTAAGTGAGGGTACAGGCAGCTTTGGGCTTTGCTGTCAGAGCTAGCGTGTGCCTTTTACGTGCTTCATTTGTCCTGGTTTTTTAATGAAATATGAACACTAAGTGCATGAAACCTGAGTTGTGAGCCTGGCTGTTCTTGATGTTGCAGGCATGTGGATTTCTCATGCTTGGTGCTGAGAAAAGACAGGAGCACTAATGGTGCTTCAGTGCAGTGCTTGATTAGAGAATCTGTTTGTAGGGAGAGAAAACAAGCTCTTCTAAATGTAATTACAGTAGGGGTCTTTCCATGGATCTCTGATCAGAAGAGGTAAGCTCATGGCAAGGGCATATATAGATAAGATGGCATGTTCTTCCCAGGGTCAGGAAACCTTTCCTTTCAAAGGCTGTCACTGTGATCCAAGCCCACAAGCAGCCACATGAAGAGGGACATGTGTGCCCAGTTCTGTCTGCCCAGGGCTGAACTGTACAGCTTAAGTAGCTGGATACTTCTGTAGCCCCATCCCTCAGCATCAGCTCCCCTGAGTCAACTCAGCACTGTGCCTTGCTCAGACCTCAGACATGTGTCATTACCAAGTATTTGGAGGAAGTGGCTCTAAAGAAGGAAAAGTCTCTGAGATGGCTTGTCAGCGTAGGGTGAGTTTTCACAAGCTATCAGGTGTGTCAGCCACGTTGCAGTTGTCAGGATAACAATAGTAGTGTCTTCTCATTGGTGTATTTATTGTCCCTTTCAATATGACCTTATCAGACAGCAGTTGGATTGGTTACACCTAGTGGTAAGAATTAGAGTGGGTGATGAGCTAATGCAAGCTCTTATTTGATATTTGCTTTTAGAACTTCCTCATATCTGGTCATGTCCCAGGCAGCTTTTCAAGCCTCAGTGTAGCTGCCTGTATCCACACACAGGAAAGCCACCAGTAACAACAGTGTCCCTGTGAAGTTCTGCATTAGGCATCTATTTAAGGGAAAAGAAGAATGAAATATATTTAGTGTCTGTTTTGGGTATTATGTATTGAGAACCTGTTTTGCTGTTCTTACTCTTCATCTTCCATTGCTAAACCAGATGCTAATATAGTCCAGCAATTCTGGAGTACAGATCTCTTGATTTCCCTTTTTAATTCTGCTGAAAGTTTGGGTGCGTGTGGATCCGTTTACCTCAGCAATAGAATGAAATATCTAAAGTGAAACCAATCAGCTCATATGAGACAGCTGCTGGGGAGAAAAGCAGAATAAAAAGGTGATTTCCTTTGGAAAAATGGCCTCTTCTGATAGTTTTGATTTTTGTAAGTAACACGTACAAGCATTTGTCCACTTGGAACGTGCAGAGCTTCTCCTTTTCGCTCAGGTACAAGCAACAGCTGAGATGCTAAACTGTCAAGTAGTTCTTCTTCTAAAGAGTAGTTGAAACAAGAGGATTATTAGCCATGTATTTCTCTTTTTTAAAAAGTCACCTAAAGGCCAGTGACTTCTCTGATGATTTTTATCTTTTAAAACTCTTAAATTTATAATCTTGTTTTTCTTAGAGGAATTAATTAGCAAAATAACATATCCAAGCACTTCAATGGTATCTATTGAGTCATTTCATCTTACATGGTGAAGCAGAAACCAGAGGATTCTGCCTGACTAATACCTTGGACTTACTAGTCATGATGGTCTCAATTATTTAAATAACAAATAAACAAATAACTTCAATGTAAAAAATAAGACTATACATTTTTAAAAAGGTAAGAATATTTTGTAACAACCACTATTCCTAATACGTGGGGAAAATAATAAGGGGTTGAACAAAACACATCTAATTTTTATTTTTTTAAAATAGCGAGAGTCAAAACTTTTCATTAAGTTACCATAGATTTTTGTTTCCTAGTTCTGAAAAGAAAGTATTTTCTTATTTCAAAAGCAAAGTATATGTAAGACATAATTTTGGTAGAATATTATTCTCCACCATCCTGGGCTTTTTTTGGCATGTCTTTTGCACTTTTGGGGGCATGTCTTTATCTCCTTATATCTCTTCATTCCTGTGTAACTCCAGATAGTTTTCCTTTTGTTCTCTCCCTTAGAGATATAAACCCAGTTCCTCGATGTTTTTTTCCACAGAATGTGTCACACTTGTAGGGAGGAAATACCAGATTCATGACAACATCTTGTCTGTGCATAGCAGGGTAGTGCAGCCACAGCACCTGACATGCACTTGAGGACTTCACGCTCTGAAGGTACTTTGCTTCAACCATTTGCAATGACTTTTAGAATCTGGAGTGTGGTTACAAGGGGAATTGTGTTGTCCCTTCTTACTCACACTCTCTCCCCTCTCTTTTGGACATAATTCCTCTCAAAGTCTCAAATTTCTTTCATGAGACCTCCCAGCTGCCTGGGCTTGTGTGTGCTGTAAGTGTGACAGCTCTGCAAAAGAACAAACACCTTAAAGCTACTGCCAGGCTAGATTTGAATCGCCTGTAGTCATCACCATGGCTTCATAATTGGGAAGAATTATGATTTGATTCATTATGCAACTATGTCCATAAAAGAAGGAAGTATTTCTCTCCTCAGGAGGAAATTAGGATGAGTCATAGCTGGTGTTGAACTGAATTAGACAAGGTGGTGCCGAACAGAGTCACATAGAAAGGAAGAAATCCTGATTAGGGTGGTACATTACAGCATCTTGCTGACCTAGGATGCACCTTTTTACACCATTGAATTTTCATAGTACTTGGAGTTTTCAGAATGCTTTTGGCATTTTAACCAGCAATCAAATGATTACCACCTTGCAGTGTAACTTGGAAGCCCAGAACATCACTTAGGCTTTGCTTCCTTCTTTTGACAGTGTCTGAAATGCGTTATCCAGGAGTTGTTAATTAACAGAGCACGTCATTACCGAACACTACCCATCATGAAACTGGAAGTGAACACTTACAGGCTCTAGAAAGTGACTTGGGGCTATTGGTGGGAGGTACAGATTTATGGAAAGATGGAGTATGAAAGGCAGCAGGGTTTTAATACATTCACCATGTTACATGCAGAAGGGAGGCCTTAATTACATGTAGATGAGATTGGAAACAAGACTGCAGAGTTTAGTTTGCATGAAAGGGAAGCATGACATGAGCAAAGTTTTATAGTCTCTTTCCATCTCCCTTTTTTCCTTTCTCAAGAGCATTTAAAGGGAAAAATACAGGGCATCCTAAAGCACTGAGCTGTGAACAGCACTCAGTGTGCTGCTGTTTCAGCTCTCCCAAACAGGGCTCTGCAGTACCCATCCATCAGGGCTATGAAAGATTCATTCACTGTCCTGCTTGGTTTTCATCTGTTTTAAACATTTAGAGACCTACTTACAAGCCCTGTAAAACCATACACAAATCATAGGGTTTGGGAATGTTTCTAGTGAAGTACATGCCTTTTCCACTCAGGATGGCTACTCTTCTGCTACAGATTACCATGAAAAGCATTTCACTGGCATGAAAACCTTTTGTGGGGGAGGGCATGTGGAATTTGTAGTCATTTCCATGCTTATTTATTATTCCTTACTTTGTTATATTTACTCCTCACTATTTTTATTTTGTTAATATCCTGCCGTTCTCTTTCCCTCTCCATTTCCAAGGCCCAAGTCTGCAGGCAGGCACATTTTGCTGATGGGCAGAGGTTGATTCAATCAGCAAAAATAATCAGCATTGGTTCGTGATAAGAAAACATGAGTAAATTAACTTCCTCTAACACTGCTTTGCCAGAAGTAGTGTTCTGTTTTGTGGTGCTGCAGCAGAGCTGGAAGGCTTCACATTTGCCAGGTGTGTCCAGACCCCTAACCCCATTCTGCTGTCTCAGACTAAGCAAAGAGCCCATCCCATCTGTGCTTTCATCCTCCACAAGCGATTCAGCTTTCTGTTTGTGTACCTAAAGCATTTAAACTGCTCCTGTTTGGATATAGATTGACCCCTAGAAGCTAATGTATTTTAATGAGGAACTTCTATTGAAAATGATCCTGTATCAACAGGATATAAAGGTATCACAGAGGATTCACAGAGACAGACACACTGGGGTACTTACCCATTTCGGGACTGTGGGCTCGCAGCTTCAAAATCCCCTCTCTCTTCCTGGTGTGAGGAAATCACACTTGAAGGGTAATCTTGAGTATCCTCCCTGAGCCCTTCTGCCTCCCAGTAACCTTCTTGGTGTGACAGAGGAGTCCTCTGGGGGTATGCAGAGGTCTCATAAACTCGTGGCTCTGAGCTGTGCACCGAACCATCATGATGTCCACGATGGTCTGAGTGCTCCACCAGCTTTGCCAATCCTATTGTATTACAGAGCAGCAAAAGCTTCACCAGCATCCTGGGGTTTTTCCCACCCAGTTACACCTGTCTCTTGTTCTTTCCTCTGAAGCTCGGCCCGAATTGATTCAGAAATGCCCCAGCGATTTTCTTTAACTGGAAAGTTGGAAGAAGGAAGGAAAAAAAAAAAAATTTTGTAACAAAGAGCGGAAAGAGCTTTCGACCCTCCCAGCTGCTGTGGAAACGTCCGTGGCTATCGAACAATGTCAGCCTGGTTCCTGTGTGGGGCTCAGGCGTCTCTGACAGGGGGGAAAAAAAGGTGGTAGGAATATAGCTTATTCAGGGAACTTCGGAGCTCGGCTGCCTTCTAAACTTATCTGTGAACAGGAACTCGGCTTTTATCAACTGCCTTCTCCCTCAGGCACAGGAAAAGGATGTTAGCTTAAAGGAAAGGAAGAGAAAAGAAAGGAAAGAAAATACTGAGTGGTGTAACAGACTCTCATTACAGTGCCAGAAAATGTTACAGACCTGCTTGCTCCAGTGCTGCACATGGGGGTTTTTCTACAATTTAAAGGCTGAAATATCTTGGCTTTAGCAGCAGAATATTCATGGTATGTATGATAAATTACGGGCATTGAGGGACTCAGAGCAAGTGCACAGTAAAAAAGAGCTTACAAATATCCATTCTTGTGTGACCTTTGCAAAGTAGCTTTGTGAATCATACTCTGTTCCCATCAAAGTGGAAGATTTTCATGAAGTTGTCCTTCAGAGAGGTCAGGATAATTGGGCATTTTTAAGAATTTCTGTTTGGGTTGTCATCTCTGGATCTCAGGCCTAATTTTTTTGTGCATTTTTAGTTAGTGTTATAGAAAACCACTTGCCAAGAGCTGCTGTCAAGAGCTACCTCTGTCAACACATCCTAATAATAAATTAAAAAAAAAAAAAGGGCTGTGGAGGTGGGTTGTAGTTTTGTTGCTGGTTTTGCTTTGCTTGATGGTGCTGCTTTTAGTTTTGTTGCTTTCATGAACTGTGTTTCTTTCTTCACTGTCTTGCAGAGTGATGTGCTCTGGTATTTTTAAGAATAAAATGAGGGAAAATGGTGCTCCACTGACAGAACAAGTGGGAATGCTGGTGCAGGACTGCTAGGTCATGTCTCGGTTCGAATGATGAGATGCACAGCCCAAAGTTCAGTATGTCCTGCAGAGCATCAAATGCAAGGCTTTTATGGATTCCTTCCAATAACAGCTGAAAATAGAGGATAAAATCTCTCCAGGATTTTGGAAGGCCTTCTTATTAAAGGCTGTGAATTTTCATTTTCTCATTGCTAGCTGGATCTGCACCCCTCTCCTTCTGCCCTTATTTTCTGCTTAATGGGAGAACTCAGAGAAATGCAGAAATGCCCTTACTGGCCTGTGACAGACACTGCTGCCTAAGAGCAATTAAGCCCTAGGGCAGTGACAGCAGCACAGGGGGCCAGGTAGAGAGAGATTTTGCTAATTTTAAGGGCAAAACCTGCTCTTTCTGTAGCAGTCACTTCTCCAGGGAGATGAAATCATAAGGTCTGGACTGAAGACTGAAAAAAATTAGCAACTTCCCTCTGTTCCTTCCTGCTGCTTTTATTTCAGAATTGGGTGCATCCTGCTGTAATACATGTCAGTGTGTGAGTATTTCATGTCCCATGTTGCACATACAAATGTGCTTTTCTTATAAGTAACTGGATGTGACCTAAGCATTATGTTTGTTTATGTAATAAGACCATTATCAGGAAGGAACTGAAGCAAACGTGAGACCAAACAAGCAGCAGGCTTATAACCTGAGCTGGGGTGAGATCCTGGTTTGCAAAAAAAGTGGGTTTGTGCCACAGGTATTGAAATTGTCCCACTCATGACCTACTTCCAAACCCTTTGGACTTGTCTTTCAACATATACCTTTCCACTTAGTCTTAACTCACCCACTAAATCTTTATTCTTCATGGATGTGATACCTCACAAGTGGTGGGGCAATGTTTCTCTGTCTTCCTGGCTCAGAACATCTGCTGCTCCTTCAGGTGCAAGAGCCTGTTCTCTATGCCTTTGTCATGGTGCTGCCCTGTGGGTGCAGCAGGCACAGATTTACAAGTTAATAATTTAGGGTGAGCAGTTCTGAAAGAAGTCAAAATATGGACATGACGGGATGATGTCTCTTTCCTCATGATGGGTGTTGCACAGGATGCTGCCATGAACCCATGGAAGGCATGAATTATTCAAAGGATCTTCCTTACTAGTTCAGGTTTTTGTTTAATAGCTGTTCTGATTTGGGGTATCTGAATAACATGTTCAGGTTGTACTCTTGGTTCATAACTTTGGACTCGCTGGCAGACTGAGCTGAAAGTTTTCTTGCTTTTACACCCATAGAAGAACATGTGTGAGGAGTGTGCCTACTCAGGAATTAGATTAACCACAACTTGACCTTTTTTTTTTTTTTTTGAGCTGGTGCCTCAGCATGGAATCAGGGAAAACAGTTTGTAACAATTTGCTCATTTCTTTCTGATGTGAGTCTCTTGTCGGAGGTACATTCTGGGTGAGAAAGGCAACTGTGCACCAACTAACATCAACAGATGTCTATCACTTTTCAGTGGCCTGGTTTAGTGTTGGTGTACCTTACACACATGGGTACTACTGCTGGAATGAAAGAAATAGGCGAGATAAATCAAATTTAAAACATAATTTGGAAAATTACTTGGAAATAAGTGTTACTCCAAAAGTATACTTGAAACCCTATCAGTGAGTGATGTGATGATAAATAATAATAGTGATGTGGAGATGTTTGGAGCTGCCCTGATACCTCTCAGAACAGCTATCCAAAAAGATATTGTCCCTCCACTCTTGCTACTAGTGACTTTTTTTTTCTGTGTCCTTATTTATGAAATACTTTTACCCCAGGTATTTCTGAGAAGTACTTCCTTAAAGTGTTCAAACTAGTCTTCAGACTTCAAACTAGTCTTTAAGGAGTTGGTATTGCCAGTTAGAGCAGATTGGTCAGAATGCCCTGGGATCTTGGTGGTAACTGTCAGGACTGCTTTTGCCTTGTCTGATAATTAAAGCTGTTTCTGTTAAACACAGCTCTTAACCCCCTCTGATGTTGCCCACCCCCAGAATTCAGTGTTCTGTTTGCAATTCCAGAATGAAGTTGTCAAATGCCGGCACCGTCTTCTGGGTAATCTGCTTAAGATGCAAAATCTCATCTTGGCCCTTTTCTGTTTGTTTAGAGTCAGAGCCCTGCAGCTACAGCTGGATAAGAGGTGGGTAACCACACAGTAAACAATGCCAAACTATACATTTGATAAGTGGCTTGTACGATAAATGGCTTGTACCTACTTGGAAAGCAAACACACTGGCTATTCCAGTCAGCATGTCTCTGGAGAAAGAGCCCTTAGAAATTTAATTTTCAATTTATAGGTTCAGATAATTTCGTTTATTTCTTTTGTATCTTTCCAGTTTCACTGCCTACTCTATAATGAGCTTAATTATAGACTTAAATTCCAAATCAGTGTACTTAAAAGGAAAAAAAAAAAGCTTGGAAAAAATGTTTTAATAAGCAAACATTGTTTTAGATTCATGTATCCCAGCTCCAAATCTCTGAAGCAGACTGAATAACTGAAAGGATTTATGTCTGGGAAGATGAGTAGGACAGTTTTGTTGATAGCTGCACAGCAAGGGGATAACTTCTCATTAGGCACTGGGGTTTAGATCTGGAAAACGCTGTCTCATCCCTTGCTTGCTGCTGGTGCACTCCCGTGTGTCTGCAGCTGCTCTGGGGCAGAGGAGCACAGGAGAGGAGTGTCAGGAGGGGGGCTGCTGGGCTAGGGAGCAATTCCTTTCCCTGGTCTGTCCATCCGAGGAAGAAGATGAATTTTTGTTGCCTATATTTTTAATAGTTTGCTCAGGAGCTGTCAGTGGTATTGAACAGCAGAGATCAGTCACAACAGGCTGCTGTACTGGCAGCTCTCTGCACGCTGTGGGTGCGCCTGAAAAATGGCTCATCCCTGGGCTATTCGTTCCCTGGCAGAGGAAATTAACTCATTAACTATGCAGACGTACATGCAGAGATTCAAGTCCTAAACTGTTTGCCAAGAGGATGTCAGACAACTGCCTGTTTTTGTTGGGGCATGAAAATGAATGATCTGAGACAGTTCTTTCTGCATTTTGAAGTTTTCATAAATTGAGAGAGGAAGGAGTTCTGTTTATGTAGAGCAAGGTTTGATCCTGTTAATGTTAATATTATTCTTCATGCAAAAACTTCCTGGACAAAGGATATTTACCAGCCACAAAAGCAGTCTGTCTTTCCCTTCCTTACTTGTCTTTCAAACAGCATCATACACCATTTAAATACTTCAATGGAATATGACCAAATCACACTCCTTTCATCCAGCAAAATGACTTTGTCAGCTGTTAGTCTCCAGCATGAGTTCATCCTTAAAGGACAGGGTTAAGGTTTTGTGTGTGGAGTAGCTTGCAACTGGGAAAACTCAAGAAGGAAGAGACACAAATTAAGCAAAATCCTGTTTTAATCTGTTGCAGACGCAAAAAGACGGTAGAGGACAGGGAACCTCGATTTCTGCTTTCCATTCTTTTCTCTCCCTTGCATCAGTGCTTTGGGGAATAGGTAGACTTGAATCAGAATTCTCTTGCCCACATTCCAGAATTGCTGGCAGGCGTTGCACAGACCTGCTCTCGGATACCTGCCATCAGCACCCGGAGAGAGGTGGAGGTGCGTGAGAGGTGGGGAACTGCTCCTTGCAGGGACCTTCAGAAAACTGGTGTAACACAGCCAGAGGCTCAATGGCCAAGCCTAAGCAGCCAGAATTCAGACTTTAAATGAACAGAAGCTGGATGGTTTGTCATTGCACAAGTCAAGACAAGGCTTTCTTTCGGTATTATGCAGAACAGTCACATGTTTTTGAGATACGAATTTGTTTGGAGTGATATGAGTTATAGTCAATAATAATAAAAATAAAGGGAACTTAATGTGTAGCTTAACTGGCATCTCCCCAGTGTCACAAGGCAGATAACAGAGAAAAAGAGGTTGCTGCCAAGTGAGATAGGAACTTAGGATCTCTGAATTGCCTGCTGGAGGACCTTCTCTTTAGCTGCTGATTATATGATCTGATGCAAGGGGCAAACTTACCAGGCACAAAATCTGGTTGCTTACCTTATCCCGTAGTTAGATCTACCTGAGCCAGGATTGGCAACAAACTGGGACTGAATCCTCTGCTTAGAGAGAAATAGGGTAATGCAGTTGCATTGAAGTGGCAAATGTTCAGGAGCCACTATGGATTCTTGCCCTATATAG